ATATACCTTTAAAAAACTAGCTTTTATCTGTCTTTTAAATATATACATAGATCTGGCATTTTTAAGGTCATCCTCCAGACCTTTCCACAATCCTATACCCTTGGTTAAAGTACATCTTTCTTTCAAGCAAGTACGAAAATATGGCTTTACAAATATTTACGACCCCTTAAGGTAATAACAACTGTCTTTCTTAACAAAGTTTACCTGAATGTTGGAAGGTAATATGTTTCTGTGAGCCTTGTACATAAACAGTAAAATATTATAGTCTACCAAATCATAGAATTTCAAAATTTTCAGTTTGCAAAATAATGTATTTGATGGATGGTTGTAATCTTTTCTAGCGATCATTCTTATGGCTCTTTTCTGCAAAACAAAAATTGGATTTGTAATTGTTTTGCAAGCTGTACCCCAGACTTCAATACAGTAAATTAAATGTGGAACAATTATTGAATTGTACAACACAARCAGAGCCTTTTCATTGAGTAACTCCGACTTTATACAGTACTCCAATAGATATAGAAATTTTGGTTCTTAAATAATGTATGTGAGGTCTCCATGTCAGCTTGTCATCAATGATGACACCCAGAAATTTCACCTCACTGACTTTACAGATCTCAATACCATCCACTTTAAATAAAAAAATCAACAGTTGTCTTCCTATTACTAAATATCATGTAATTTGTTTTATCCAAATTTAATGACAATTTTGTCGGTTTTCTTGAAACCAATTTTGTATTTTCACAAATTCTTTCTGTACCATCTCAAACATTTTTTCTATATCTTTACCTAAACAAAAAATGTTGTATTGTCAGCAAATAAAACGCATTTGAAAAGTCCTGACACATTTACTAAGTCATTTACATATAAAATAAATAACTTGGGTCCCGGTACAGAGCCCTGAGGGACTCCATATGTGAGATTACAAAGTTTAGATCTTACACCATTTATCTGTACAAACTGTTTACAAACTGTTTTTTATTTTTCAAATAACTAGATACCCATTGTAGTGCAGATCCTCTAATACCATATTTACTTAATTTTTCAAGAAGAAAACTAATCAATTGTGTCGAATGCCTTCTTTAAATCTACAGAAATACTAACACACAATACTGTTTTTGATCGATAGCTGTTATATTTGTTCCATAAATTCCATAAGAGTGTAGTGTTAACGCCCATTTCACCTCACCTTGTCTCACCACTGGTTGACCTTTGATCGCCTGAGGTCAAAGCTCTCTTCTCCCAGACTGAACTATTTCAGTCCTCACTGAGGTCTATCAAAAAAATAAGCTGTCTCTGTCACTTGTCTCTCCTTTTCCCTGGGAAAGGTCTCGTTCTCAAGAGATTTGTCATTCTGCTGATAAAAACAAATTAAAACAAACATTCTGTCTGTTATTGCTGTTCCTTCAACATGTACAGCGGGTAAAATAAGTATTGAACACGTCAACATTTTTCTCAGTAAATATATTACTAGAGGTGCTAATGACATGAAATTTTTTACCAGATGTCGGTAACAACCCAAGTGATCCATACATACAAAGAAATCAAACCATGTTGGATTATTAATCTTGTTAATCTGAGAAGTTTTTTTACTTCAAGAAGTCTTACCAAGTGCAACTGTCAAACTGCAGATTATTAATCATTATTAATTTGAAAAGAATAAGGGTCTAATCTAGTACTTTTTACTTATTTTAGAAGAATAATTTTTGCAGTGTCTGATCAGAAATCAGTTCTTCATACACTTATTTAATTTATTCTTGTTTTTTCTTTGCTTTAAAATATTACAGAGTAAATATATTTATTTAATTTATTTATCAGATTATCCATGAAAAAGAATAACAA